GGCAGCGCTCAGATTTCAAAGTCGATCCTGGAAGCCTCCTTTTCGGCCTGGGACGGCGTGCACGGCAGCCGACCAAGCAACCAAGTTGCAAAGACTGGCTGATCATGGCGAAAACCTAAGGAGATCTGCAGCTGAGCCCATGGCGGCCTCTGCGGCTTCCTTGGCAGCCCGGAGGGCGCGGAACGGCCTGCGTGCTCGTTCCGGACGGCTTCGCGTTGGGGCTGTTTGGGGCTTGGGGTTTGGGGTTTGGATCCTGAAAGGCTGGGGGTTCAGGGGTCCCGGGCTTGACAGTCTACTTCTGGGCATGTCTGGAGGCCTATAGCCTCAAGACGGGCTCTGCAGGACACTGCATGCCCCTTGCGGCCCCTCCCCCCCCCCCCCCGCCCCCCATCGCGTAGGAAAGGAGCTGCCTCAGCTTCTCTCGCACATCGTCGGCTGGGAGAGCACGGTCTCGCAACTCCTCGAAGGCAGGGCTGTGGAACCCTTCATGCCCAAACCCCGGAATTTTATGGCTTGCGCAAGGTGCCGATATCTTTAGATTATCTTTAGGGACCTTGGAGGGCGGCCACGCTAGGAAGTCCCTTCCTCGGCCACTGGCCGGGTGTCCGCCAAGAGCATCTGCAGATACTGCCGCTTCCTACATGGCTTGGGCTTCAGAGTTTGGGATGTCGGGTAGAGAGGCGTGAGCTTCAGGGCTTTAACATCTGGGGTATAGGGCTGGAAGTGCGTTGAGGGCAGCTGCATTCGGATGGTGCTCTGAGTGTGATCTGCAAGTCTATCTGGAGCAAGGTCCAATGATCCAATGGCCAGGGGCTGACTCAGCACAAGCCTGCACAGGAACATGACCTTACCCTGAAGGCCATCGCCACTCCAAAAGCGTCTGCAGCACCGCATCCGAACCCGTGGAAACACGCAAGCCACCCTGCCTAGTGTCATCGTTGCCCAACTCCAGCCAGTCGTTGCCCAACTCCAGCCAGTCGTCCCAGCCCACCCGCCGGACATCCCAGCCAGGCGAGGTCAGCCTCAAGTAGAAGTGATCTTGGGGCTGGTGCCCCGGGGTGGGGTTTAAGGAGCGTCTTAGGACATGAGTGAGTATCTCAACACATTCAACCCCTAACCCCTTCAATTCGAAGTCCTACAGTTTGCGAACACAGAGCGCAACTCTCCAAGTGCAGGGTATAGGGCATAGGGCTCAGCATCCAGAGCAGACCCAGCCAAGAAACTCTCTCTCTTTTTGCTTGGACTCTTTCATGAAGAGCTCTGCTCCGGGGGCTCCAGTATGGCTCGCGGTCGAGGTATGGCCCCCCCCCCCCAGCCCCCTAGGCTCGAAACCCCAGCCTGGGAGCAGGGCGTCTCGTGTGGCAGGTGCTTTGCCGGCAAGTACTGATCGCTACACCTGGGTCCCCACGAAGAGCTCATGGTACCCAAACTTCCCCCGATCTCTCAGGAATACGACCCCGAAATGAAGCCCCGACCCGTCTCCCACACTGTCTCCTTTCGCCAGAATCTTTAGCGGATTCAAGCTTTTGGAACAAATCATGAGAGCGTCTGGGGCTTTAGGGCCTTGGCTGGAGCTTTGGGTTTTCGGATGTGGGGCTGGTGTTGAAGGGTTCAGGGAATCGTGGAGGGTGTGGGCTTCCTCAAGGCTCACACGGGGCCCGGGCAATAGTAGAACGATGATGGGCCATCGACCATCAAGCATCGCCTTCGCTCATCCAACTTTGGCCGTAAACCCCGAACCCTTGTAGGATGGTCAAATGGGTACCGAGCTGAGGGGCATCGGGGGTGCAGGGTGCCCATTGGTACGCACGGTGACCGCCACCGCAAAAAAATCAAGGATACATGTCACAGCCATAGCAATGGGTGCATCATGCAAGCAGCAAATGTTTCTGCATCCGCCATGCAGGAAGTTGTGAGAAGTGAACGACATGCTTCCCTCCTTCAGCAGGATCATTTGAAAGGTCACTTGTGGCGATGCTTTGAAGGTTTAGGGTTCTCCGGCCATGACCACCTTGGCCTGCTGAGTCCGTGCGGGCCTCCAGCTGCTCGAGGCCGATGTCGATGTAGAGTGGGCACCCCAGCGGAAGGAGTTACGATGAGCCTGGAAGCACACGTCTTGGGCCGGGTGTGCCAGGCATTTAAGGTGCTTGGGGGTGTTCGGGATTTTGACCAGCTGCTTCTTAGGTTGTATTCGGTTGTTCTCGGGGCCGACCTTCCTTGGCCTGAGGGCCTTGGCCCCGCCCAAACTCTCCGGTGGCTCAGGCTTTCAACCTTAGGGCATCCCTGTAGAATAGAAGTCCTGAAGACACCCAAAAACCCGGAGGGTTTTAGGTCCTCTTGCAAGTAGCCCCTAGCACCCAGGCGGCCCATTGGGTACTTTGCTGCCTGGCCTTGATCAAGTCGAAGGGCCTCAGGGCCCCGATGCTGTCCTGCAGGATAAGGCTTTCTTTGCTTAGGGGCTTCAGGGCCTCTCAAAGTTTAGGGTTTAAGGTATCCCCCGCCCCCCTCACCGGAACCTCCGAACCCTGAGGCACGCAAAGAGACTGCGTAGGTTTCCTTCGACCGGCAAATGTACTTCCCAAGAGATGCCCTGGATTGATGTCTTGTTTCGTGTGCCACTCCCGTTCCGTTTCGAAGGAACATAGGTCGGACCGGCCTTATCATGATGCGGAATGCTTCTGCACAGCATTGAAGACTTGAGGCACAAACTGTTTACAAAACACCAAAACATTGGCTAGACCGATAAATCCCTCCTGACTTGTAAGATTGTCTTTTTGTCATAGTTAGTTCGTCGATGTCGGCCCGAGAGGTTGTGCTCATTGTGGTTCTTCCCTTTTCGGTCGGACAGGGCTGTCTGTCTACCTTGTACTTGTACATGTAGGGCCTGCATGGAAGCACTCAAGTCCGGATGAACCTTGAACCCCGAAACTGGCCCTACTAAACCCTATGTAAACCCTCAAACCTAAAACCATGGGATGGTGGAGATCAGGGCAACTGTCCAGGAGTCCAGGGCATGCTGCGCCGCCGCCCGGTTCAGGTGACCGCCGCCCCAACGGATCCGCTTCAAGCACCACATCCTTGGCACTTTGCCCCCTAGACCCTGCAAACCCGAACAACCTAGCGTGAACTGGCTGAAATTGGAGGCCTTGCGGAGCTGGGGGGTTTGAAGCTGTAGACTACCCTCGAAGCCTTATGTATAACAACCCCTTCATTCTTGAGAAGACCGAAAGGTCTCCTTCTGTAACCCCCTCGGAATGTGGGGTGGCAGTGAGGGACCCTACATCCTCAGCCCCAAATCCCTAGCCCTCGGCTCCTTTACAAGGATGGAACTCCTTCAGTCGCTTTAGTCCGTTAACTTCAGCCTTGAGCCCTGACAAATTCAAGGCAGCCCAGCATCAGGGACATCCGCGCGTGGGACTGGAAGTTGGGCACCTGCTCCTTGATCGTGGGGGCAGCATCTCGCGGTAGAAGCTGGCGTCCAGGAAGCTGCTCTTACCTGGGCCACCCTCCAATCACTCCCAACACCTCTGCCATCTCTGGATTGCAGACCTCCGAAGTGAAGCCTCACTGAACCCCGCCTAAACCCCAACAAATCCGCCCCTTTCGGGCCCTGCAACTCCCAGACTGCCGAGTGGCCGTAGCCCCACATGATGTCGCCGAGCTGGTCCGGCTCCTGAGCACCAGGATGCGCTCGGACTAAGTTTTACTGTCTTGTAGGGTAGAGGATCTCGCTGTGCAACCCCCACAAGAAACCCCAAGGGCTTCGTCTCGAGGGTTTGGGGTTTGGGGTTTGGGGTTCGCGCTTTCGGGCCTGCCAGCACTGCGCGTGGAGGTTTAGGAAGTTTGGGACCTACAGGTAGCTTGTTGGATGCTTAGGGGCGTTTGTGCAGTTAACCCCAGCATCCTTCTGCACGCGGTGATGTAGGTCGCATCCATCAGCGCCGTGTCCGACGTGAGCGGTCACGGGCAGCGGCAGGCGGAACTAGCGCACCCGATTCCTTGCGGCTAATAGTTGTGGTGAGGTGAGGGGAATTAGGTGCCCTGCTCTAACGCTCTAACAGTGCTCTAACGAAGGGTGTTGGGGGTTGTTCCGGAGACCCTTTCTCTTCAAGGCACTTCCATTGCCTTAATCTACAGGGATGCCATCACATGACACCGGCTCCTCCGAAGCCGCAAGTCTTAAGTCCTAAACCCCCAAACCCTGCAAATCTCTCCTATAAGAACAGTCAGGTTGCTGAGCCCAGGAGCGCCACCTCTTGTTGGACGGGATTGAAGGCACGCCGTCCGTCGCCACCGCTTCGCCAGCAGCAGATATGCCATTTACAGCGTGGTGTTACGAGCGTCCATCACCATCTTGGATGGGAGCCAGGTGCCCGCCGGCCGACGGCGATGTGCTCCGCCATCCCGCTGGAAGCCCGCGGAGGGTGGATGTTGCTAGGGTGAAGCTTTGACCACTGTCTTGAGCTGCTCACTCTTCACGCCATGGAGGCCTGCCAAAGTCTTGCAAGGGAACCACGCGGTCTCCAGTTCGAAGAGCAAGTCGAATCAGGGTACCCGCACAGGAACCAGCGCATCGGAAGAATCCAGCTTCACCACGAAGAGAAGTTGTCCAGGCTCGCCCCAAGAGGAGATGCGCTCTGGGGCAGCCCACACTACCTGGACGTCTCTGTCGAAGCGGATGACAAGGACGTTTTTCGTGTAATGCGGCAACGCCAGCGTGCAGCTTCCGTCCTTTTTCATCTGGGTGCTTGGTTTGTAGGCGGAAGGGACACCAGAAGGGACACCAGCTTGGTGCCACAGTTACGGCTCTTGTTGGCTCCAGCTTGAAGATGACCCTTTCCTTGTCCGGGTCGGCTATGGAGACCTCCATCTTGCTGGCACACAAGTGTGCCGGAAGTCCAAGTCGCAATCAGTCCCGGTCCTGGCGAACTCGGATCCGATGCCCCACGGGCCGAAAAAAGGAGTGCAGATTGTCGCTGTAATCGTGGCGTGTGAAGTGCCCCGGGTTCAGCGCTCCCGGCATGTGCTGGTGAGACGGGAGCCGGAGTCCTTGCTTTCTGCAATGCTGTTTCAGCTCGCGGGTCCTCATCCCAGAAAAGTTCACGGGCTTCATGTTGCGAAGCAGCCTCTTCGGCCCAAGGGGCACGCTCAGCATGTAGCGGGGGTGTGGCGCGCCAATCGAAGGGCTCATCCCAGGACCGGGCATCCAGCATCCAGTCACCCTGATTGAAGTACTGCCTGGTGTGTTCGCTATCCTTGTCCTTGATGAAGAGATGTTGTGTCGTCAGGCTGCGGCCCACGACGAGCTCCTTGTCCCATGTGAGATGGCCCGATGTCTCAGCAAAGACGTCTATGTAGCAGTGGTACACTGCCTCGCCCTTCTTGACTGCCATTCGGGACAAAGCTGTCTGAGCCTGATTCGGCTCCCAAGGCTCGATGACCTTGCAGGCTCGCCCTCGGAAGTGATGGGGCAAACTCACGGATGCAGAGCCCTCGTCCGTGCCCTGAGCTGTCAGCATGAGAACCACGTCAGGCAGACCTTCACCCGCACCCTCTGGATGTTTTGGCAGTCGGTCAGCACCGACTCATCGCCAGCACGCACGGGACGGTTAATTTGCATTTCGGGTATGCCTATTCCTCCTTGGCTAAGATTCTGCCTGACATAGACGTAGTTCTTCGGGACGAGGCGCAACAGTTGGGCACCCCAGCGGCAAATAGCATCCTTGCTCATATCGGTGGGGCGTTGGATGTTATGATAGGTGATCACCGGCAGCCGGCCGGGGGCTCCAGGCCAAATTATCACTTTGTCACGGAACTCTTGGAGACCAAAAAATGCGGGCTGAATGCAATTCCAACTTCGCCGTACGTCCCCACCAGCCTGGTGGGTGCGTTACGGCAGCAAATGCTGAAGGGGCCAGGCACATGGCAACGTGGTCAGGGCCTCACCAAATGGGGAGATCGGGCACCCTCACTTATAGAAACCACCCCAGTAGGTGAGGGTGAACCCCCTGCTTTTTAGGACTCCTGGGAGCTATGTTAGAGCTCAGCCAGCATAAACCAGCACAAGCCTGCACGGTTTTTCAGGCCGCAGGCCAAAAAAGCCTGGGGGATAATAGACCCATCAATGTGTCCTTGAGCACGTCTCTCCGCCTGCCACCAGAAGTAAGCCAAGTCCTGTACACCTGTAGGTACCCGGAAGCCTGCAAGTTTCAAATGATTGGGAACTTGCCAAGCCTTGCTTTCCCCCTAGGACCTGCCCCTGTCTTCCTCCTGGATCGACCCCTGCGTAGCAGAGCAGGAAGGTGGCTTGAGACCATTAGATGGGTCAGCGTACAAGAAAGGCAGGAGCAGCAAACCAAAATAGGGCAAAGCTTCGAGCTTGGGGGATCGAGCGGAGTCTCACGTAATGTGGCACAGCATGCTTACAGAGAGGAATCCCTGCCTGACATCTATCTCCGGCAAACAAGAAAGGTGGGCATTGATCTTTTCACCCCCCCCGCGAGCCCTGGACAGGCGTGGGCGCTACAGGCCACCAAGGGCAAAACTATGACCATCCTGTACCGGGGCACGAGGGAGGAAGCTCAAGGCAATGTTCCCCGCTTCTGCGCACCGGGTCTTGCAGGTACGGTTATGGAATTGCAGAAATGGGGTCAAGCTCTTAAGCCCTTACCCCACGCTGTCTATTGTGCGCTCTACCCGCAAGCCAATACGGACGATGGTGCTGCCCTGTACCTAAAAGCACTATTAGCGCGAGAAGTGCCCTTTCAGCCCCCCCCGCCGGGGTAATGAGGATTCTATGGCGGATAAGCAGGAGCACGTTTCCGCCATTCAAGCAGCGGGAGGGCATGATACCCTGCTTCCTGAACGTTGGGGCCAGGCTGACGCGGCCGTCCGTGCAGCCTGCTGAAAGACATCAAGGGGCAGTGGAGGGTAGGGTCAAGCCTGGCCCTACTCTCCCAGCCAAAACTACACACTCCCCGCCTCCGCCGCCACCGGCTGCAGCCTCCGGAGGGCAAGCTGCTGCACGGGCCACACCGGCCCCGCCTGGGCTAACACAACGACACTTGCCGTCGAGCTCATCCTCGAGCTCGTCCTCTAGCACATCCTTTGTTAACGCTCAGCCAGCCCAGCCCGACCAAAAAGGCAACGAACGCGGCCCAGTCACAAGCGCCTCGGTTGGTCCCCAGGAAGAAGCCTCTGCGGTTGGGGCTGGTGCCGGGCCACCAAGGCCTGAGGTCATACATGTGGACTCGGATGCTGACCAGGGTCGTCCAGACCCATCTGACCACGACATGTCGTCCTCTGGCACCGTTCAGGACTCGTGTAGCGAGAGAAGCGAGGAGAGCGAAGAGGACCCCCTCGACACCACAGGGTCCTGTTCTGGGCTGCTTTGGAAAGCACTGACAGACGGCAGACTTACGGGAGACCGTGTGACCCCCCGTCCCTTTATGCCCATGCGGGACTCTTCGCATCTCACCACCCAGGAACAGCAGGTTGCGGCCTACCGCTGTTACGAAGAGTTCATCGCGGGCATGCCCGGCAATCTTAAAAACCCCGAGCACCTCCTGGAGGTCGCAAACACGCTGCTTTACCTGCCTGAGACCTTTCCGGCCTCATACCTCATGCTCCACTCCCCGCTGATCAACAGCAGCACGCGGCTCGCGCTTGCCCTTGGGTTTGTGCCCTTGGAATTCTCTCCCATCCGACAAACACAGGATCTGGAAAATCTTCAATCCTCCATTGTCGGTTATAGCTTCCTCACTGCGGCGCAGCATGTTGCTGACCTGTTCTTCGCTGTGCGAGACATTAAAGGTGTGCAAAGTGCCAAATTCCCACGCATGGTCAGCTACTGTGACCCCGACTATTGGTTAGCAGGTCTTTTGCTGGCTTACGATGCGCACAAGAATGCTCCGCCTACTCGTGCAGCAGCACTACCGGTCGTTATAGGATCACCCGGCAGCGATAAGCAGTCCAAACAGGCAGAAAGGCAGGGCACTCTGTTAGACTTGCAGTTGAACATCCCTCCAGCGGTCGCAGTAGCATTTTTGGCCGGAAGGGCCTATCAGCGCCCCACCTGCCCAGGCACGGTACTGTACAACCCCGTCGAGGGAGCTGAACAACACATCAAAGGCACTGCCTCGGCAGAGATTCTTGCCGAATGGGATGCTGAAACATCTCAACATCACATCCTACGTGAGAGTCCCGATCCTTTCCCAATGGTGCCTCGGGGAGCGGAATTTTCGACAATTCGACCCCCGCGATCCACCTCTGCACTTTCTCGATGCGTTGAGGCGTGCGCTAGCAGTGGAGGTCGCCGAGCACCGCCTCGAGCACTTCTGGGCAATGGCCAATCTGGAATGGCCGGCCATAGAATCCACTGGAAACCTTGTGTTCAGGAGGGTCCTCCCTTTCCTAAGCTTGGTCAGGCAACCCTCCCCTCGGGCTATCGGCCCTGGCGAGGGAGGGGCGGTCGTCATGGATTCCGATGACTCGGGGTCGGACGAGTCAGACGACCAGGTCATCGATTGGCGATTTACGGAGTATAAGTCCACCAACCTAGCCACTTTGCAGGAGGTGGACTTGCATCAAACCTTTTTCTCTCCCAATGTAAGGGACAAGCATTGGTTGAACCATCTGGGGCGCCTCCCCACGTGCAAGCCGTACTGGCCGAAGCCGTGGTGGGCAGACGCTCACACACAACGCTGGGCCGCATGCTTCGGGCTGCAAGCTGCTTGCCACCCCTATAAAGAGAAACTTCACAAATACTGGGCGAAGTTGTATAAAGACCTTCCGCAGTGGTCATATCCCACTGACCAAGAACTCCGGGAGTTATCCAGCTTCCCCCTACATTTTGAAGACAGAAAAAAGGGGCGCAGGCAAAAGGTCACAGTTCACATGGAACGTGACGATCTAGCTGCGGCGGTTGGCCAGCTTAATAATGAGGTCCTTGCATACCTCACGCGCGCCGCCACTGCGCAAAATCCGGTCGAGGATTTCCCGTGGCAGGGCAAGGCACTGGCAGATGACGACATATAAAGGGCGCCTTTGCGGACCCTAAATGAGCAGCAGATCATGCCACATAGGCAGTCGTGCAAGCCTGCGCGACTGCCATAATGTCTGCTGCACTACCCACAGCTTCAACTTACCACTACGTTGTGGAGAACCAGCCTCCTCTTGTATCATGACGGTCACCTACTGTTGACGCACTAAAACTCCTGGTTAGGCCTGCGTCTCTTTGGCCACCGGAAACGGCAGCGGGGCTATGTGCCAATGTGCCCGCTGGGAGACGCGAAGGAAACCCAGGGCGTATAGCCTTGTGGGTTCTAGTGCTAGGCTTAGTCACAAGCCTGTGACTCGCCTCTGCAGTATGGTTACCCGCCCTGTGGCAGTTGCGACAGTAACTGCTGTAGTGGCCACCGCCTGACTGACCCCGGTCTGCGGTGCTGGTGCATTTGGAGACCTTTAGTCTTCACGACGCTGCATCCGTAAGTCGGAAGCAACGCCACACGCTCAGTAGCATAACTACTGCTTGATACGGGAAGAGAGTACCCACCCGAAGCTTGAGAAAAGCTTGAGAAAAAGGAATACCCGCTTTGCTTTTCCCCAGTGCTCATCAAAACCATTCAGTCAGCAATGCTGGTTAGTGGGTCTTAGTATCCCTGGTATAGCCCTCGCTTCCTTTGGCCACCGAACTTCAGCTGAACTTCGGCGACAGGACAATGCGCCACGTGCCTGTCGGGGAACGATGTGGACGCCCTTGGCATACGCCTTGTTGGTACTTTGACCGGGTAACGCCACGACCGGTTGCGTTACCTCTGCTGACCGCCTCCCCTCCCGCACTGGGCGGGGGGGTCTTTGCAGTTGGCTTTTTTGCTCTCGGCTTGTGTTGCAGCATTGGACTGCCACTTGAAGTTGCGTCTTGGCGGCGCTGCATCATTCTTTTCCATCCGTCTTATACACTGGCATGGTGGTGCTGTACAGAGAGCCGACACCTGTGTATTGACGTCCGCTGCACACTCCCGATTACATTGGTTTCACTCGCATCTTACTCGCAATTGCATTGATGGAGAGCTGCTGGGAACATCGTGTTGTCTTCCGCGGGAGACTTCTTGGAGTGGCTGCGTCTTAATGCGCTTGGTTGAAGACGCACATCGAAGGTCGCACCGGGCCTGCCACCAACCTACTACATCGTCGAGCTCGAGTTCTGAGAGCGGCTTGTTTCACCCTCTTAAGATGATCTGCTTTGTCCTCTTGTGTTTGTTGTGTTGTTGTGTTGCTCGGGAAAGTTCGTCTCACGCTTACTCCGCACAAGACCGGCCCACTGGGTTGCTGACGCAATAAAGGGGCGACCGAGTTAAAAAAAAAAACACTTTGGTCTCTCTCTTATATTCTGTTCTCTCAACTGCGTTCTGTTTGAGTGTAGTCTCTGGCTGTTTCGTGATAGGGGCAACTCCTTCTCTCCCCCCCGCGCCCCGACCCCTTCCGAAACGCGGTCCTACAGCCCCAGGCCTCACTTTTAGAACGCCCGAAAGTGCGGGAAAAATGCGGTAAATTTCTTCTGGCCCGTAGCGCGGTCTGGCGCGGTCGGATTTTTCTCGGCTGCTTCTCGAAGCCGCGTCTTTCGGCGGTACGGCGGCCTGGCGGAGTCGGAGTTTGCCAGCTCGGCCTCGCCTAGATCCGCTGAAGGTGCCCTGGCCATTGCAAACGCGCCTGACTTCGAGCGAGTTCCACGTGGCTTTAGAAGCAAGTTTCATTGCTTGTTTTCGCAACATGGCAATTCGAGTTCTTTCAGCTGTGAACAAACTTCATCGGAGCAGCGTCGAAACGATTGCGGCGTGTATGCCGCCAGCGCCCACAAAATACCTTCATGTGGCTCAATTTTACGAAAGCGTCGTGCGTTGAAAGACGTTGGTCATGAGTCATGAATGTCAAGCCATGAACCTTTGAGCTCACGAACTTTGTCATTTTTGCTCAGTTTTTCGATAGAAGTTCTTGCATCGCCTTCAATCCACACCCTGCCTCCAGTCACGGCATGGTTCCGTTTCCCGACCATGTTTTGCATGTCGCGACGCAGTCCGATTCGAGGATTCAGCAGCACCTCGATGGAAGTCCAGGTTCCGTTTGGATATCGGTGTCGCGAGAAACGATTGATTGCTACGCATGCTACTTTCATCGAGGAAGCTTTGCACACTTCGGGGCATTGCCTCCATAAGCGAAAAGCCCTAAGGTGCAGTACCGCTCATATGCTCCGGATCCTATGGCTCATTGGCGACCACGCCACGTCTATTGCTGCGACCAAACCTTGAGCAAGGAAACCATGGAGTTTGTGTAACAGCTTCGCACGCGGATGAAAGCACGGGATTCAGCTTAGTCTCCCCAAACACCCTCAAGCGCCCTGCCGTTAACCCAAAACTGTTGCACAAGCACAAGTTAGGGGACGTCCCTTGGCTTCGGTCCTGGATAGAAGCCGAGGTGATTTCTCGCCTGTTCGCAGCAACAAGCACAGCAAGCAACGCTAGACTACCTTATGGGGTTGACTTAAGGCACCCTGTAGCGCCCAGAACTGAATGAACTTGGGCGCTTAGGCTAAGGCCCTGCATTGAAAAGCCCGAAACCGAGGTTTTAGAGTCGAAGGGGTTTAAGGGACTGGTTGCGGTAATGTCTGAGAAAATTGTGGAGTTTACGAAGTCACAGGCCTGCACAAAAACTTCCATTCGGACCCCATGCACACAGCCCCGACGCAAGCGCAGGAGCGAAGTCTACAAAATCTTTTTCGCGAAGCTGCAGAACTCGTAGCAACTGCAGGGCTTCCAGCACTGCCTGCAAATTCATTCACCTTGTGACAGAAGACATCAATGGCTGCAGCACATTACCGATGAAGGCTGAATTTTTTGGCCATCCATCAAACTGCTGGCCAAACTGAACCGGGTCTTTTTGGCCAACCAGATCAGTCATGAGGATCTGAATGTCCGTCTCCTGCGAAGCCCTTGTGAAAACTGGTTGTCCCAGAAAATCGATCCACTTAAATTTGTCACCGAGCAAAACTACGTTTGCGAGGCGTGGGTCTCCGTGGACGAAGCCTTTCAAGTGTAGTTGGCGCAAGGCTTCGACAAGGTCTCGCCACTTCGCCTGAGCCGTGTCGACTGGTACCGGCGTACCAACATCACCGAGGATGTGAAACCATCCCAAAACCTTGTCGCTTTCTACGACCTCGATGCAGTCTGATGAAGGAGCCACTACTGGGCAGCCCTGCTGGCAGGCCCTCTTCATGACTTCGACCTCTGCTCCGGGGCTAAATCCGTTTGGCACGCCAACTGCGAGAACGGCCTTGATGGCAATCCGTTCAATTTCCTCATCTCGCTTGCGTTGCGCTTCCAAAACACGTCCGAATGCTCCGCTGCCTAGGAAAGCAATGGGAACAGCGCCAGCCTGTCGCAGAGATTGGCGCAACAACCGTTCCCATGGATTGTACTGAGAAAGAAAATCGCGTAGGAGCTTTTTCCCTCCAGGAGCGGACCAAGCCCCACAAATCCTTTCTAAGAGCGCTTTGCGGCTCCCAGGTTGCCCAGCCACGTGGTACAGCTCAAAGCCGCGTTTATCGAAAACCATGCCCCTTGCATGCTTGGAAGGAAGGCGACATAGATACTCATACAGCTGACCACGGCTGTCATCATTGATCGCCAACTTCGCTTCAAAGACAGACACACAATCGAGCATCTCCTTGTACGGCGTGCCACTAGATGCATTGCCATCGTACACCATACATCGAAACAAATCAGGTGACAAGCCGCTTTCAGGCCAACGGCGATTTTGCGAGTCGACGATCTTGTCCTCTGGGAACAACGATCTCAAGATGGGCAAAGTGAAAGCCACCAGGTCCTTCTCCGTGCTCTGCCCGGTAAGACTGCTTAGTTGTTTGCCATCAAGGACAGGCTCGCCGGTGCGTTCCCGTAGTTCTTGATCTTTGGTGTCGGGTCCATACGCGTCTTTCCACAGAGCAGTCCGAGAGACCGTCAGCCCGGTGACCATTGCTTCCTTTACCGCTGCTTTCACCACCAATGCCAAGTCTGTCAAAGTGCTTTCAACCTGAAGGCAATGACACAGCTAACTGACATTAGATACGTTTGCTGGCCCCTCAAGCACAAGCAACGACACGCCTTAGAGTGAAAGACAATAATAACGAAAAGAATGCTCCTCTTTGCAACCAGATTTGTGTGAAACCTGAAGCTGCCAAGAGCCCTCTGCTCCAAAAGCCCCAACACAGTGCAGACACCTTAACGACGAGGGGCTGAGTGGAAAGCAGCACCCCAACAAGCAACAACGGTGGCCCCACGAAAACGCACGACGACCAAGAGCCCGGACATGCAGGAGTGCTAGGCAATATGCCCACGCAGAAGCCCCCTGCACTCGTCTTGCCGGAACCCCACCGCTCGGCAAGGTCCACGTGCTAAAGGCACTAAGAACCCAGGTCCCTTGACTCCCCCTCACGGACTAACCTGAAAGTCGAGCCTCAAACAAAAACACCCGCAACCTGGAGAGCGCAAAGCAAGCGCAAAACAGGCTGACGCCCCCACCTCGAGCCTAGGACTGACACCCCGTTCTGAAGCATCGGCAAAACACGAAGAGCAACCAGATTTGCATGAACCTAAAGCAGCCAAGAGCCCTCTGATCCGAAAGCCCCTCCCGCTCCCCGAAGTGCTGCAAGCCAACACAGTGAAGCTTAGCGACGAGCGGAATCCTTGCTGAGAGGAGAGCATGACCCCTGCACACGCAGAAGCGCAAAAGCCCCACCGGCCTGAAGGGGTGCTGTTGATTTGGCTTTCTCGAGCTCCTCATTGGCCTTTTTGGCCTCCTTCTCGGCCCTTTCGGCCTCCTCCTTCGCCGTGTCAACCTTCGACTCGGCCTTGTTGAACGCCTCCGTGGCCTCCTTGATCTCTTTTTGGTTGCGGTTCTGTACGGCTAGCCGAAGCCTTTGGCGCGCAAAGTCCCGATCCTCCCGGGCTCCTTCCAGATCCTTCTGGGCTCCTTCCCATTTCTTCACAGCCATGTCGAAACATTTCTGTGAAAAAGTGTCCTGCCAGGCCAGGCCCAGTAGCCGAACAAGGTTCGCACAGAGCGCAGGTCGGAGCTTGAAGCTTTCACGCCCTTCAAACTTCAAACTCGGACATTGCCAGCTCTGGCCTTCTCGGTGGATTCGTCGAAGCCTTTGTCCTGCAAAAACCACAACCACGCCACGAATGTTTGAAAATACCGGCTCTGAGACGTGCTGCCAGCATCAATCCACATCAAACAAACAACTGTCTAGAGCCGGAGCACCTCCTTGATCTGCCCTGTCTCCTGAACCGTCTTCTGCAACTGCTCCTCCTGGGCAAAGGCCACAATCTGCAATTGCGAACTTCCAAGAGCCCGCTCAGATGCAGCGCATTGGCCCACAACAAGCAAGGCAAGCAACAACACCCTCGGAGGCACAGCCTGCTTGGCATCTTCGACCGGGTCAGCGGTCTGTGCTGAGGCAGCCTGCATAAGCAACCAATCAAGCCCATCGAAATACGTCTGAAGCTCCCTGGCCCACCACACCGAAAGGACAAAAACCACCAAAGCAAGAGACATCGCAAAGCGCCTCGTCCACTGCCTTGTTTCGCGAAACCTGCAGCAAGGGGCACATTCTCAAAAATGCTAGTGTCAGCGAGCCTTCACCTGCCTGATCGAAGCTTGCTAGAACTGCGAAGCCCTCACCAGCAAGAACAGGCTCCCTGAAAGTGCCTCGGTCGTCGCCTCTTTCACGTCATCCTTTTCTTTGGGGGCCTCCCAACATGGACTGATCCCGAAAAGACCTACATGTGCTGCTGGCAGGACACTCGGGCAGGAGCGAAAGAAACGCCATCAGAACAGCACAAGGAACGCCACGCCGAAACGACAAACCCTTTTCGCCTTGACGTCTTCATGGTCTTCGGCCTCACCACGGCCCAAAGTGCCATCAGCCTCAGCTCTTCAGGACATACGCTTAACACTGAATTTCCTGTCGGTCTCGGCTTCCCGCCTTGGCCCTGCGTGCGACCAGCAAGTTCTGTGCCCATATTCCCGGAGGAACCGACCTCGCTCTGGCTTGCGGATCTTCGGCGTTCCATGCCAAACATCACATCCCACCTTGGAAACTGCACGGGCCCCGCTCCTAGCAAAGCCCGCGCCGTCTGCGTTGCTCGCCTGAAGCTACGCGGGAACACATCTAACAGTGTTCAAGGCGCTGGTCTTAGGCTCTGGCTGACACACCAAGAAGAGCGCCAGTAGCACAAGCACGCGCCCGACCTTGCGCAATGTTGCTGGAGGCCGGCTCATGGCGGCAATCGTCCTAGCTGTCCTCTGGCTCGAGCAAAAGCACTGCAATCTGCATGAACGAATGGTCGAGCTCCCCCTATTTCAGTCACGGGCCAAGTGTTTAGTTAGCCAACTGCAATTCAACATGCGCAGCAGTTGCAAGTGTGCACAGGCAACTGCTGCAAGATGCTTCGGTCGGGGTTCTCAGCAGGGATCGGGCCTTGCGGCAGCACACTCCCCCAAAGCCCATGAAATGTGAAACCTTCCCCATGAAATGTGAAACCCTGAGGGTGGGAGGGGGATGGTGGGGGTGGGAGGGCCTGGTGGGCAGTGACGGGCCTGTAATCTTTCGAGCGCCCTGGCCGGCGCCCCGCGACGCGTGGCCCACCTGCGTGAACCGTGACGTCTGTGCGGCCCCACGTGCCCCCGTGACCCTGTGACGTCCCTGACCCCGTGGACCCCGTGACCCCGTGCCCCCGTAACCCTGTAACCCCGTGGACCCCGTGCTTCCCGTAACCCCGTAACCCCGTGACCCCCCCGTGCCCCCCGTAACCCCGTAACCCCGTAACCCCGTGACCCCCCCCCCCGTGCCCCCGTAACCCCGTGACCCCGTGCCCCCCCCAAACCCCGTAACCCCCCCCCCGTGCCCCCCAACCCCGTAACCCGTGACCCCGTGACCCCCCCCCCATGCCCCCCCGTAACCCCGTGACCCCGTGACCCCCCCCCATGCGAAGGGCTTCCCGTAGATCACCCGAGTCCCTCGAGGCCCGGAGGGGCATGCAGCTCCTGGGCTGGTCAATGCCTCCCTGCGAGGATGACGGTACGGGATCACCGGACCTTCGAAGGCCACAGAGATTTGACCAGAGCACAAGCCCCACAAGCTCATTCTGCTCGATGGTGAAGTCAGCAGCGAAAGACTCGCCGAAGGCAGCCGGGATCGAAGACCTTCCGGACATCCGACCGAAGCCCGTACCATGTCGCGACATGAAGGTGGTTTAGGTCCTGTTTCTCCAGTGATCACTGTGCCTGTCCCATGACTTCATAGGAAGAAAGCAGAATCAGACCGCCGCTGCCAGCATCGTCCTTGTCCAGCATACGAATTACGATTGGGGGCAGCTGCTGCGCCTCCAGCTGTCCATCGGCATCCACGTCGATTTGCAAAGATCTTGCTACTCGAGGTTCTCCACCTGCAGCTCGAAGATGGGGATCCGCCGGCCCATCTGGGTCTGCCGTGGGCAATGATCGTGCGGCCAAGACGTTCCGTGGCCGGCTGGAGCGGTGCGGAAGGATCAGCTGGGATCTCCTCCAGGTACTCTTCCTCCTACAAGTAGGTTGGGCACAGCAGCCCCAGCTGGAGGATGGAGCCTTCTTCGAAGAGAGCGGAGTCTCCAACTGCTCCAGCGTACTTGTTCCTGAGAAGAAGCCAACTCCTGCCAGCCCTCTCCGACACTGACCACAGACCGATCGAAAGACGCACCCAGTGGACCTCATGGAACGTCTTGGGATGTCTTGGGGTCTTTGAGGATGGGTAGCTGGCCAAAGACTTCTGGAGGTGATGCTTCTGGAAGCTCGCCAGCCCTTCTTCATCTACTTCAGCTGGGAAGCACAACACATCCTCAGAGCCATGCGCATAGCAGACGGGCCGTGCCCTCAGCCGCACATGCTGCAGCCAAGCACCTTAAGCTCAGCTCAGTGCCCCCGCATGCTCTCAGCCAAATAGCTTCTCTAGTGGGTTTTGCGGAGGTCGGCTCCCAAGGAGGACTGGGCGCCCTTCGAGCTGCAACAGCTCTCTGACCCGCTCCACTGGCTGCCTGAGGTTCTCATCCAGCATCTTCTGCATGCTCGGCCGTGACTCGGCAGGGCCAAGCAAGGGCTGCAGACGCCTCAGCAGCACTTCGTCGGGCGATCCTTGTGTAACCTCGATGAGCTTCGAGAAGGTCCACCCGGCTTGGTAGCCGTCCTCGGCCAGAGGACTGTACGGCTGTTTCTTGGCGATCTCCGGAGACCAGGCTGCGACGTTCCCGGGAAGGCGCTGGCCCACCTCATCTTGATGTTGCAAGGGCATCGCTGCATCCAGGTCGACCAGCTTCACGCCCGTAAGCTGGGCCGTGAAGCAGATGTTTGCTGGCTTCACATCCAGGTGGGCGATCAGCCGCTGGTGCATGTGTGCCAGGGCCATGCAAATGGGCGCCACGGCACTTGCCAGGCGCTGAGGGCTCAGCTGGCCGCTCTGCGCGGCAGCTTCGAGGGACAGGCCGAGGAGCTCCAGGCCAAAGCCGATGACTGCGCCCTCCTCGGTGACCAAGCACACTGCCCGCACGATGTTGGCGTGGTTTAGGCTGGCGAGGAGCAGAGCCTCTTTGTGCAGGCCTTCGCGGTCCTGCTCCGGGTTGTGGAGCCCAGGCTGAGAGCGGACAAGCTTCACTGCCAACTCCTTGCCGGAGAGGCGTGCTCTGTGCACGGTCGCAAGCCCACCGCGGCCAAGCTGCGCCAACAGCGTCAGCTGGTCTTTCTGCACCTTGGGAAGCCTGGGATGCTCTGATTGCTGCCTTGGTGTGCCCTTCGGCTTCACTGTCACCGGCTTTCCGAAGCTATAGCTCGGACCTGACAGGCTCTTGGCTTGCCGGTACTGCCCTGGGCCTGGCGTGGGAGCCTTGCCTGCGCGGAAGCGGGGAGCCTTGGCGAACGACATTGCTGCCAGACACCTAATATGGGAAATAGTCTCCTTGACAGAAAGTCCTGCATCGTCGTGGCAAAGCATGTCCAAGCGCAAGACCGATTCACAGCGGCCCCCCCCCCTTCCAGCATGAATGGGAAACTGTTGAGGGTTCCCTAAGCCCTAAACCCTGAAGCCAGCTGGTGCATAACTAAGGTACTTCCAACCCCTTTCCAACCCCTTTCCAACCCAAGAACCTCTAACCAGTGCAATGAAGACTGATGCTCATGTTATCTCATGTTTCTGTGAAGGCTCGGACCCACTCCCTCCTGAACAGATATCTCTAGATCACAGCTTGAAAGCATGAGAAACTCAAAGTCGAGGCAAATGCCGAATTCAGTTACTAAACTGCTGAACTAAACCAACAACAGGATCGGCCAGCATGTCATCAGCCTTGCCAGGCGGGAACCAAACGTCCGACCATCTTCCGACACACGCTCCCCAAACTGCGAAGATAACAAAGGTGGGACGACAGGCAGAATCATAGACAGATATAGACAACATCAAGCATCTCAGAGCTATCTTCCCTTTTTTCGCTCGGCAGCACTCAGATTTCAAAGTCGATCCTGGAAGCCTCCTTTTCGGCCTGGGAGGGCGTGCAGGGCTCTTTCGCGCGGAGAAAAGCCAACAAACCACGGCAGCTGACCAAGCAACCAAGTTGTAAAGACTGATCAGGGCGAAAACGTAAGGAGATCCGCGGCTGAGCCCATGGCGGCCTCTGCGGCTTCCTTGGCAGCCCGGAAGGCGCGGAACTGCCTGCGCGCTCGTTCTGGACGGCTTCGCGTTGGGGCTGTTTTGGGGCTTGGGGTTTGGGGTTTGGATCCTGAGGGGCTGGGGGTTCAGGGGTCCCGGCTTGACAGTCTACTTCTGGGCATGTCTGGTCAAGACGGGCTCTGCAGGACACTGCATGCCCCCTTGCGGCCCTTCCCCGCCCCCCGCCCCCCATCGCATAGGAAAGGAGCTGCCTCAGCTTCTCTCTCACATATTCGGTTGGGAGAGCACGGTCTCGCAACTCCTCGAAGGCAGGGGTGTGGAACCCTTCATGCCCAAACCCCGGAATTTAAAGGTTGGCTTGCGCAAGGTGCCGATATCGTTTGATTATCTTTAGGGACCTTGGAGGGCGGCCACGCTAGGAAGTCCCTTCCTCGGCCACTGGCCGGGTGTCCGCCAAGAGCATCTGCAGATACTGCCGCTTCCTACATGGCTTGGGCTTCAGAGTTTGGGATGTCGGGTAGAGAGGCGTGAGCTTCAGGGCTTTAACATCTGGGGCATAGGGCTGGAAGTGCGTTGAGGGCAGCTGCATTCGGATGGTGCTCTGAGTGTGATCTGCAAGTCTATCCGGAGCAAGATCCAATGATCCAATGGCCAGGGGCTGACTCATCACAAGCCTGCAAAGGAACATGACCTTACCCTGAAGGCCATCGCCACTCCAAAAGCGTCTGTGCCCATCACCGCATCCGAACCCGTGGAAACGAGCAAGCCACCCTGCCTAGTGTCATCGTTGCCCAACTCCAGCCAGTCGTTGCCCAACTCCAGCCAGTCGTCCCAGCGCACCCGCCGGACATCCCAGCCAGGCGAGGTCAGCCTCAAGTAGAAGTGATCTTGGGGCTGGTGCCCCGGGGTGGGGTTTAAGGAGCGTCCTAGGACATGAGTGAGTATCTCAACACATTCAACCCCTAACCCCTTCAATTCGAAATCCTACAGTTTGCGAACACAGAGTGCAACTCTCCAAGTGCAGGGTATATAGGGCATAGGGCTCAGCATCCAGAGCAGACCCAACCAAGAAACTCTCTCTTTTTGCTTGGACTCTTTCATGAAGAGCTCTGCTCCGGGGGCTCCAGTATGGCTCGCGGTCGAGGTATGCCCACCCCCCCTCCCCCTAGCCCCTAGGCTCGAAACCCCAGCCTGGTCACCTCCTTCTAGGCCGCTCTCAACTCACTCTTGGAGCAGGGCGTCTCGTGTGGCAGGTGCTTTGCCGGAGACGTACGGTTTCAGCGCGCCAGCCTTCGCAAACAAAGGTCTGGCACGGAGTCTGTCACTCAGGTGCTTTGCCGGCAAGTACTGATCGCTACACCTGGGTCCCCACGAAGAGCTCATGGTACCCAAACTTCTTGAACCGATCTCTCAGGAATACGACCCCGAAATGAAGCCCCGACCCGTCTCCCACACTGTCTCCTTTCGCCAGAATCTTTAGCGGATTCAAGCTTTTGGAACAAATCATGAGAGCGTCTGGGGCTTTAGGGCCTTGGCTGGAGAATTGGGTTTTCGGATGTGGGGCTGGTGTTGAAGGGTTCAGGGAATCGTG